ACTTAATTTATTTTTATACTGGTTTATTTATAAAGTTCTTATACACTGTTTGAGTGACGATAGGCATGTCCTTTTAAGAGACTAAAGAGAAAATGCAGATAAAAAGGACACAGAGATTGGAATAATGTGGCCACAAATTGAGGATTCTGGAAATAACCAGAAACTAAAAGAGGCAAAGAACAGAAATTCCTTTAAAACCCTAGAGAGAGAATGGGCCTGGTTCCATAGAAAACAATATATAGTTTGACACCTAGACAGATTCTTAAGGATGAGTTTTCTGAACTGGTTCTGGATTTTCTGAAATTGATTCATGGGATGAGATGTTAACGTGGTAAGAAAAACACAGTTTATTCATAAATATGATATAAATATGTAAAATATGAACACTACAGGTTTAACTTCTCAGCTCTTTGATTTTTCAAGTTTTTCGTTATTGTTGTGTTATTGATTGCCATCAAGTTGAACATGACTTATAGTGACCCTATGAACAAAAGGCCTGAAGCCTTTCTATAATTATTGTCACTTATCAAAGTTCATAAAGTTTACCGGGGCATATTTTTTAGGAAGTAGATGCCACTCCTGCTTTTTAAAATTTTTTTAGATGGATTTTATATATTTTTATTCTCATAGTTTTATTGGTTTGCATATAATCATTCATATACATTGTATTTTATATAATTACTATTGATCTGTGTCTATAATTACCTTGTTTATGTTTTTAAATAATAAACATCATAATTGAAATATGGAATGTACATGGTTGTTTTTTTGTTGTTGTTATATTTCCATTTATTCATTGTTGCACATTTTCCTCCCTGTCCCCCTTCCCCCAAGATCACTTTTTTTTGGGGGGATTCTATCATTGTTATGCAGTTCTCCCCAAAACCATTTAAATCTTATTCTGGACTCCTGTCATGCCAATAATACCTAATCATATGTTCGAATTACACAGTTTTCTCCCTCATCTGTTTCAATGCAGTATACATTATTGAAACCATCTTTCTCAGTCTCCCCACAACCCCGATGTCAGTCCTGTTTTACAACAGTGGCACCATGCAGTGTTTTTCCTTTTGTGATTGAGATACTTCACTCAGCATAATGTCCTCCAGGGTCACCCATTTTGAATAATATTGCACGAGTTCCTTGTTTTTTCAATGCAGTGTAGTATTCCATTGTGTGAATATACCAGAGCTTCTCTATCCATTCATTTTTTGATGGACACTTAGGTTGTTTCCAACTCCTTGCTACTGTGAACAAAGCCACAATAAACTTGGGTGTGCATATGTCAGTTATGGTCTCTTTGGGGTATATTCCCAGTAGTGGAATTGCTGAGTCAAATGGTATCTCTATTTGCAACTTTTTGAGAAAGCACCATACTGCCTTCCATGGTGGTTGCACCATTTTATACTCCCACCAACAGTGAATAAGTGTTCCTGTTTCTCCACAACTTCACCAGCATTTGTTGTTTGTTGTCTGTTGACTTTTGCTATTCTTACCAGGCTGAGATAATATAGTTGTTTTGATTTGTGTCTCTATTAGAGCTAGGGATTTTGAACACTCCTTCATGTGCTTGTTAGCCATCTGAATGTCTTCTTTGGTGAAGTGTTTATTCATATATTGTGCCCGTTCTTCAATTGGGTTGTTTACCTTTATCTTGTTGTGGTGTTCAAATATTCTATAAATTCTAGATATAAGTCCCTTATCAGACATATCATTATGAAATATTTTTCCCCAGTCTATAGCTTCCCCTCTTGCCCTGTTGGAGAAGTTTTTGGATGTGCACAGAGAATTGATTCTTAGAATGTCCCATTCATCTATTTTATCCTTTCCTGGTTGTAGGTTTTTCAGAATACTTGAAAGACTGTTCAAGTTATGGATTAGTGTTTCTAGGGTTCTTCAAAGCTTTTCTCCAATGACGTTTAGAGTCTTTGGTTTTAGTC